TCCTACCACGAGTGTCTCGAGATTATGCTTGATTTAAAAGGCTAGTCTTTAAATGCCCTTACTGAAGAGACATTGCTTATAAGATAGCAGATGACACCGTTAACGATCTGGACTATCTCCTCGATTACGTTGGAAGGATGATAGACTACAGCGAGCCTGATCTTGTTTATCTTCTCAAGCGCCTTGCCTCACTCAACTATAAAAGTCAACCTAAGTCCCACCGAAAAACACCAGTCACTAATGAATCGTGGGGCAGAGCAGCTTGTCAAAAACGCCGGCTACAAAGACTCAAGGGCCAGAAGCCTTACTACAAGGTCAGTCGCGCACTCTACAAGTGCTCAATTTGCGGGCACGTATTTCATAGGTGGAGCGCCGCTGCTCAGCATTGCAAGGAGAATCACTCTTGTCCAGTAGCAGTGTATTGCATGTCATGCGGTTATCGATTACCAGTCTCCAGAAGAAACCAGCACGAGAGTTTCTGTGGGTGGAGGATCTTGGATGGAGACCCAAATAAACCTAGCAGAGTCTGGCTCTGCTGCCTCCAGAATTTGCTTCGTTTGACACAGCGTGAAGTTTGTGAATTGATAGATATATGTGGCTTTGACCGTCCTACTGGGCGCTGTAAGGCAAGAGGTAAGCACTGCCCTGGGGATACAGTTACGCTGATCTTAACCTTTCCTCCTGTTACAGCCCTGGCACTTTACTTCTTTCAACAGCTACGGCGACTTGCCGAAGATCCGATGGCTTCTATACTCGAACCATCATGTAAACTAGAAAGTCAAGAAATTAATCCATGTAGCCAAGTCGATAACGAGATCCTAGCAGGAACAAAAGGAATACGAGACGTCATTAACTGGGTAATGCAAGAAAAGCCGATCACAAGCCGAAAATTACTGATTTGGGACCCTGGCATGTTCAGCACGCCTAATGATGAATTGTATCACGAATTATATCCGCCATTGTCCAATGCTCAAGAGTACAAGTGGATCAAACTTGCAGAACGTAAAATTGTCCTCTTCACTTTAAGGTACGATCCTTGCCATCGACCGGAACAAAGGCAAGCTAGGAAATCGATAGCCGGCAACACTGACGTTGCACTTCCAGAGGGAGCCGGTCGGGCGTGGCGCGGCGCCCGAATACCTAGACAGGTTTACCCCGGGCGTTATGATTGGTGTCGTCCACTTTCCTAGTACTATTATCGTATTGCCTGTAAAATTAAGACTATGGCGCTTTGTCGATTACATACTACTAAGGCTTCGATTTACATGAATTGGCATGATCTATCTTGATATCAAACCTGAAAATATATTACTATGCAATATTTTCAACACAACTGTCCCTTATTCTCATGGAATAGCTTCTTCATCTTCCACTGAAAGACGATTCCTTAGATAACGCCGCATACTACAAAGCACGGAGATTCGGCTGATTGACCTTGGCTTGGCCATGTTTGAGAGTGATCCTAATCGTGAATGCATCGCAACTCCACTGTATTCCGCCCCAGAAGTCATGTTATCCCTCAAATCGTCGTTCTCTCGTGATATATGGAGCATAGTATGCACTCTTGTCGAGTTTGCCACGGGCAAGGTACTCTTCTGCTCTGCTCAACACACCAAAGCTGAGTATCTGGCTATGGTGGAAGTTGCGGCCGGATCTAGAATCAAGTGTACTGGATTTGCACCGCGATAATATGAGAGATTGCTGGAAGCATTGGGACATGCCTTTCGGCGCCATGGTCTGCAAGGGCGAGTGACTCCCTAGAACAGTGCTTACCTATTATCGTAAAGTGAGTAGTCTGATTCGTATGTATAGACTTGACTGTAATTGTTCAATGCCTCATAACATTCTGGCAGCACTGTACTTGGCAGTTCAAGGAGCATAACCTCTTTGAGGGATCAGTATGGCACAAGAAAGAGGAGCGTCACAAATCAAACCGTCTCTGCCTTTTTGCCTGGTATCCTGAGTAGATTATAGTAGAACCATAATACAAGCTGTCACCCAAGAAATCGAACGTTACCTAGGTATCATCTCGGCAAGTTATCTGGCTCATCTACTACTTAGTAGGCCCTATGCATTAGAGCCAGCCGCAGATTGATCACGAATAAGCGAGACTTAATAATAACTGCAATGGAATGGCTTATTGTAGTGTATCTATGTAACGAAGGTTCATCAAATCTTGTATTTTCGTTTTAATTATCCTCATAGGGCTCCTTTTTTGGTGGATCTCAGGCTGTTTGTACAAGTACTACATGTACTATCTTAGTCGTATCTACTTTTACATTTACCTGTAATACATAACTTGCGTACCACAAGTCTATTCTCGTGATTGACGAAAGCCTGGCGCCCCATCGTGCTGACGAAACGTATATAATATAGATATCCGCTTCTGTAGCACCGGATAAATGTGATTCTAGGTCATTCGAGCTGTTGCTGCTTGTTGGATGGGGGACGTTGAACCCGACCTTCGCTTTCCCATTTGTGTAACGAGCCTTCATGATACTTATACTACGATGTCTCACAATAATTGGCTACGCAAAATTGTTTCGGTGGTGGGCATCACGTTGTTTATAACTTTCTTGTTCACGTTCCATTTAGAATCATCAAATAGCATTTGGACTAATAGAGTTCAAGAAAAACCCTTGTTTGATGAGCAACAGTCTCATATATCAACATCGCCTAAGAAAGATTATCAAAAAAAAGGTCAAAATGGTTATCACAGTTCTTTGCCCGACCCGGGCGATGGTGCATCTCTTGAAGATAAATCCGATTATCGACTGCTCACAAGTCTTCGGAACAACATGGGTTTCTTCAACAAGATAGATGCAAGGCAGACTGGCTATCAAATTATGAATCCAACGCTACTCGAACTTCCCCGCGGTGGGAACAGCAGTCACGACTTTCTCGTCATAGCACGCACGAAACACATTGCGAAAAACATTCACGGCAAACAATATCAATTAGCACGCCAAGTCGCCACATTTGCAAACCTCACGTACGACAGCTTTGGGCGGCCACTGCTGAAAACTGGTAAATGGTCCAAGCTTCTCGTTGAGGACTTTGGAGACTCTGAACATCACTGCAAAGGAGAGCCTAATATAGACAAATACATAGGCCCAGAAGATATGAAGCTCTTCTGGACACGAACTGGTGAACCGCTACTTATTTTTACTCATCAAGTCAACGACAAGAACATGTGTCAGGGCCAGTTCCTGATTGATGTCCGTGCCGCCCTGGTTGAACTTGAACAGATTCTCGGTCCCGAATTATCATCTCTTCTACCGCCCATCCGCTTCGCTTCCCCAGCAGGTCTTCGTCGTGATGCACCACCCGGCCAAGAAAACCATCGTCGCTACCAGCGCGAAAAGAACTGGGCACCCGGACAGTCCCCCTTCAGCTCCGAGTCAGAGCTTCTTCTCATGGCGGAGCCCGGCCAGTTGTTCCGCTGGATATCCAATGACGAGCCCGTAGAGTTGGTCCTTGGTGCGAAGGATCAGCGGTCGGCTGTTGAGGAGCCATATCCAGCTACAGCCAAGCCTGGCGAGACTTGGCATAGCAGGAGAAGTATGACATGTGTACACGACGTTATGCTCCACGATGAGCATGTTCACCAGAGTACACCTATGTTAACCCTTACACTCTGCCACAGAGGGTCATGTGAGCCAGACAGGCAGAACACGGTCATGCTTGGCATGGTACAACGGCGTCAAGACCCGCCTGCTGCGCCGTTTACATGGTACGACCGTCGAATAGCTGTATATGAATCA